TTATGCTTAGACAGCCCACATATAATGTTACCATCACTTCTCCTGTCATAAAATGGGGGACCTGTAACCCATCGGGATTGAACTGGAGCCGATATTAATTTCGAAAAGACAAAACTCCGATTACATCCTATACACTAAGGACAAAACGCTTTTTTTTTTTCTATTGTTTTGACATTTAAACTATAATAATAAGTCAGACTAACCTGAACTCCGCTGCGTGCGTGCCGCCATAGGGCGACATCCAACTTCTTCGCCAATGTATGAACCACAACCAAATCGGCCGTGCTAAATCAACGCAGGCGGTGCGTACTGTGACAGGCCGTTCGCTTTTCTCGAAGCGTATAAGACGCTATGACGTCAGTCCGAGGCAGCGACGCCTTTTGTTTTACTTTTCGCGCGAGCGCGCAGTTGTGACGCGCCGACGTGCTCGTTTACAAACAATGAGGGATCGGTCAACAGACTCTCCACTCCGACGACGTTTATGTGCAACTCAAATCCTTAAAAAAAAAAAATATTGCTTCGTTTTACTAGAGCCACTAAACATGCACACCTTAGAGTAAACAGACTTCAGCCATCGGATGGATGGATGCTAACGGCCCTTGGTAACGGCCGGTAGGTTGCGCCACCTAGTCATCATTGTGCATAAAATCGTGGTTCCCAGTTGTCTCGAGTTTTATCGAAAAGCGCGGGAAAAGTGTTCTTCGGTCCTCCAGAAATGTTACAACAGCCCGCGACAAAGTACCACCGCATCGGCCGAGCGTCCTGACACTGTGTGTAAAGCTCGCGAAGTCGCATTTTCGCGTTTTCGGAAGTCCGTCGAGCAACATTGGCGGTCGCCATTGTTCGGAAGCGCGTGATTGGAGCCGAGTCCTCGCCGAGCGCCGAACGCCGCACTCGTGTCCAATAGGCGCGCTCGGGGTACGCGCCCCAACAATGGCCGACTCGAATTAGTTCGCGCCACTGCTACTAGACGGCGCCCAACTTTTTAAAAGGGGTCTGGTGCGCACGCTCCGCACTAGACAGAAAAATGGCGCCGCTCGCGAGAAAACTAGAAAATGGAGTGCTCGTCTCGTAAAGGCCGCGGTTAGGACATTTGCGCTTGAGGTGCGTCTGCTAACGACTTCCAACGGTTTGCTCTATCCCACATCCCGTGCTGATACCGTGCAAATACTTGCTCGTTTCACTATACGGACCAGTGTGCAGGTCTGCAGCCCGGTAGGAGTGCGTTCGTTGCCGCGGAGTGCGAGCCAGACACGCACACGAGCTCTCAAGATGGCGCGCCCTCCTATAGGGAGCATGTACACGCGGCCATAGCCGAGTCCTCAGCTCGTGAGTGCGAGCTGATGGCGAGCTTCCGCAGTTCTTCCGCATCGTGCAGTCAGATTGCAAGGCTTAGCAGCCTATTAATGTGAACTCGTTCGGAGCATGCGCTCTAATGGCGTCTAGCGATTCGTATTCGTGACGTCACGAGTTGCGAACCTGGCTACTTGTCATCGGCCTCGAACGCTAAGTTCGATGACGCCTGCAGAAAGCACGGTGGAAGCTCGGTGTCGGAGCTTTCTTCGACCAACACGCGCCGTCCATCTTGACAGTGTGACAATGTTCGCATTTCCGTTAATGAAATCACAGTGAAGGTTTGGGAATTCGTAGAAAGTAAGGCCTCTTGACGTGATCGTTTTCCTACAAGTAGCGCCAAATGCGCCAATGCACGAGGACCCTGCCCCGTCCGGTCCTTGGAAGCAAATGGCGGCGAAACCATTGGAAGCGAACGGCTACACAGTGTACAGTCGTCTCGCGCGTTTCCAGAACAATGGTTGTCGGGACTTTGAAGAAACGCGCCTTTGATCAAGAGGGGGTTTAGCGGAAGCCGACCACGGCGATGGCTTCCGTCGTGCACGCGGCCAACGGTAACGGGGGAAGGCGGCACTTTGAGCCAGAAAGGCGCTGGAAGGCGCTGCACGTGGAAGCGGCGGCCCTGCCGGAACCGGCCGGTGCCGGACGAACGGAGGGCGGGCGGCGCACCGCAACTGGGTCAGCCGCTCTCGGGGGTCGACGACCGCCGGCCCCCGCTCCCCCCCTCGGACACTGGCCTCGCTGCCGCACCACCGCGCCGCTGCTGCGAACGCCTGCCCGCCGGTCAGGCAGGCCGACCGGAGCGGCCGCAAGGGGGGGGAGCCCCATCGGCCACGACGCCGTCAGTTCAGGGAGTTTTAAAACTCCCAACGGGTTCCCCAAGCTCCTCGGGGACTCCTTTCATCCAAAACTCTCCAACGGCTTTACCTACAGGGTGCGTTTTATAAACCGCTTTTCATACTGCATATTACGGTATGTCGTACAAAGGCGGTTTTGTAAACCGCCTTTGTACGATACTGTGGCACGTGCCTGCGACTGAGTTTCGGTTTCACTGCATCGCGTACCCGAAGTACGGCGGGAAGCCGACCTTGCGGCGCTCGCGGCCGGCTGCGTCGAACAAAGAGCGGCGTCCAGATCGAATGAACGGCGTTGTTAGCGCCAGGCCGCGGGAAAGTGCAGCTGCCGCGCTCAGCTGCCAAGGACGAAACGCCGGCGAGACTACACAAGCCCCGCTGAGAGTACGCCGCCACCCATTTTCCCAGATTCTTTTACGGGCGCCGCCATTTTGGTGTTTAGTGCACAGCGGGCACCACTGGCGATCGTTTCGGTTCCGAAGTGCACGGCATCCTGAGCATTAGAGAAGCGGTCTCGGGAAGCTCCGGTCATGTGGTTACGCTCTGAATCGGACGGTTCTGCCAAACGAAAAACCGTTTCCTGCGATTTCAGACAAAGTGTTCGGGCGACTGGCAACAATGATTTCAAGCACCAAGTTACAAAAATGCAAAGGGAAAGGAACGATGATAATGCAAATAATGCGAAGGAAATTGGCGTGGAAGGGCGAGGGAAGGAATCATACTTTTTGTTTCCAGACTAGGTGGCGCAAACTACCACCCGTTTAAAGGCTACGCCCGTAAGCATTCACCCATCCATGGCTGAACTGCCGTTACGCTGAAGCTTACTAATTTAATAACTTTAGTAGCTCTGCTTTAAAAAAAAAAAAAAGACGCGGATTAAATTGGGCTTTACATTAGCATCTTCACGAAAAACCAAGTTTGCATCGACTGCAAAACGACTTCCTGTGATATGACGCGAAGTTCGGTGGGCGTGACTATCTAACGAAACACAAAATATATATTTAAAAAAAAAAGACATTATGTTAGGCTAGGTGTCGCAAGCTACTACCCAACACTACCTACCCATCCATTCATGCAGACGTGTCTGTGAGAGTCAGCGTGTGCTGCGATTCTTGCGCATGTCTCTGGGTGGACTGTGTGAACGTAGTGCTGCGCACCATCGGGCAACACGGCACGAACACGACATCGGAGCTTTTTGGGGGGTACTGCCCATAAATGGTAATCAATACAGCCAAATTCGACCACCCATGTCAGCACCCAGTATGAGCACATTCAAGCATGCTATAAGTTTCTCTGAGAGTATCACAGATTACGTAAAGAATTTAGAAGAAAAAAAAAACGCCGGTGGCTTGTTCGTGCTAACGGTGTCCCACCCCGAACACAGGTTTAGGCTCCGCAATATCTCCATACACCAAAAATCGAAGAAGAAAGACTAATGTGCAAAAACCATTCATATGGGTATTAACCTGCTACTGCAGTAACGAAGCAGTGACGTAAGTCTAGATGCAACAGGAGTTCGTCCGTGACCGCTAGTTACCACGGTCACGCGGGAGGTAAGCCTAGAGCTAATAATGAGAACGAGCCAAAATAGTACCTTGGAACCAACACGTGTCAGTGGAAATTGTACCCAACAATATTAGTGTGCACATCTAATTATTATTAGCACCATCTTTCGAGGGAGATTAACAGGGATATTATTATTCAGTCGTATAACAGACTAAACGTGCCGAACAACGGCTTGCAACTCATCTGTATATGTATATACAGTATATATAAAACAAGAAAACCGCTAGTAATACCTAAACGGAGAGCTAACAGCTACTACATAATCCCAGAGAGTTCATTTCGGTTAGACCCTGACCCTCGAGGGAGGTTAAGAACCAAATCAATTTAAAATTATCGATCCAAATGAATTGTGGGACGCAAAGCCCGCAATTAAAGACGACCAACTATAGTAAAAAATGCTTCGGGGCAAACAGGGCGGGCAAAGTCGGGCACATCGGTGGCCGATCCCAGGCACGGCGTGCCGACGAGGTTGGGCCCATGGAAACAGCGAGTTCTCAAAGTGACCGGTAGGAGAAGCGGAGGCCGGCGCAGCAGGGCGAGCAGCAGAGCGTGAAGCAACCGCGACTGCCTCCTACACAGCCTGGGCACTTCCAAGGCCAGCCGAAACTGGAGATGTGGACTCGTTTCATCTCGTCCAACCATCGCTCAATCGTGCAAAGTTGCGACAAAAATAAAATAAATAACGCACTCCCGCCGGCATGGCTCCCTCCTCGTGCATATGAGAGCGCATTACACGTAAAAGAAAAAGAAGAAAAGAAAAGAAAACGAGAGAGAAAAAGTTGGGAGAGCAGCGGCGTAATAGTTAGCGTTGGTTTCCCATATTACAGAGTTTCGCGCGCGTGATGCGACGTCGGGGGAGCCGGTGAGCCCGGGATGCGCGTGAGCGCGGTGCAGAGCCGGCGGTGCGTCGACTCGAGCGACGGCCATGCAGGGGGAAAGGCGGACGGGGAAAAGGCGTACGAAGGAGCACGCCGCTTCGGCTGCCGCAACGAGGTCGCCTCGCCATTCAAACGGGACCGGCGTCGCTGCAACGCCGTGCGTCCGCGCAAGGACGAGAGATAGCCGTCCGTTGAGAGGACGCATCGTGAGGTGCGGTTAGCCACCGGTGACAGTTTGGAGAGCAGGGTTTGAACCCCGCAAAATCGACCAACTCCGGAGGTCGGACAGATCCCTGGCGACGTCGGCCCGTAAGGGCAAATGGAGAAGCGATAGACTGGCGTAACTCACATGTGGCGACGGATGGGATGATGATGCAAGGACACCGAGCAAGCAGCGGCGGGGGCCCGACGGCAAGCTCCGATAATCCAGCGGGCGAGGCGCGCGTATCACGGTGGCGTGGTCGGTCGCTATGCCCTAGTCCTACCGGTCTTGTACTCGGCGCAAGCCCAGCGGCGAGGCGCCGTGCCACACACGCACTTGGGACGCACACACACTGCGCAACACACCGGGCTCAGCGCGACCGGCATAGAGGCTGCTGGCACGAAGACGCCACCTCGGAGACCATCACACCGGAACAGGGCTCAACGAGAAGTCGCATTGCTCGCGGCGCTCGTCGGACGGAAAATGAAGCGGCGCAGCAGACGACCCGTCCGACCCGCCGACCAATCAGCGCCGCGCCGGGTTGCGCCGCGACCAATGGGAGCGCGGGCGACGGCAGCGCCGCCGCCGCGCGCCCTCCTCGTCGCCAGCTGGAAGTCACGTGGGGCCCCGACCAACGGCAGCGCGACCGACTCAGTTGCTAGGCGGTCGTGGCCGGTTAAAAAAAGAAATGCCGGCAAAAAAAGGGGTGCTCGTCGCGCAACATGGCCGGCTGCCGCCTGGACACTCCATTCATGCGGCAGCCGCGGCATTTGTCCGGACATCTGACGGACCGCCGTCATGGGGGAGACGCGAGGTGTGACGGACCGTCGCCGCAAAGCAGAGCCGCAAATGCGCCGAGGCGGCCTCGGTGCGTGGCAGGACGGCGTGGTTAATTAAGGTGGGGGGCTTCCCCACACGGCCGACAGTCTCTCGAGGTCGCCGTGGACGAACGCGCGCCCGCGGCAACGGTCTACTGCATCTTTTCGTAGCCAAGCTTCGCGGTGTACTCGCGTGTGGCGGCGATCTTTCCTCCTCGTTGCCGTGGTTGCGATTATTACAGAACGCATTTTATACGTGTGGGGCAAACTGCGACGCATAAACGCTAGCGTAGATACCTAGATGGCAAGGTGAGAACGGCAGCCATTCTCGCTCTGTCATTCACTGCCAGGAAACGTAACTCTCCGCGATCGCGTAGTCGGCGTCACCACGACCGCTCTCTCCCAAGGTTCGGGCGTACGAGCAGGCACGGTGCCACAGATTCAAAATGCTATAGTCGCGTGCCTGGTTGGGTTCATGCTTCTAATGATTGGTTCTTCCACGTTCATATCGGCTAATGTCCCAATCTCGTGGGTTGCCAGCGGTAATTGGATGCACGTCAAGCCGCGCGTTTCTTAAATAGTCGCTGCAATGGGCCGTCCAGTATTTCGTCATAATTTTTTTCGGAGTCTACTTTGTTCGACCTGTCCGTGAAAGCTATATTCGGCAAAATGCAAAATCCCCCTAAAAAAAAAAAAAAAAAAAAAAACATTGACATTTTTTGGCAATTAATTTCAGTTCCTAAAGTACCTACCGTACACTTTTCCGGACCTATAGTCCGTGGCCTATGCATGAGTGAAAGTTGAAATCTTTCGCGGCTGACTATCTACAGGTGCGGACTACGCGGGAATTTTGTTTTCTCAATATCCTTCCTTATGACGAGACGTGACGAACTTAGTGAATGAAAGACTACGTTCGTGATGACTAACGCACGAGATTGTTTGTGAGCTAAGAGAGCAGACATTTGCCAAGGTGTGTTCTGCTGTACGAAGATTTTTTTGTGCGCACGTCAGGTGTGAACTATCTAAGCAAAAACTTTTATGTATGCCCCCAAATTTGCCCCTGCTAACTTTCCACCGGGTGCGCACTTTAATCCCGAAAATACGGTAATCACAATTAGAATTACAAACCTTAAAAAAAAAAAAGTAAATTAGAATTACACGTCACTTTTAGTCCTGCGCGAGCTACGCGACTTCAATGGCGCCGGTGTGAAAGAAATCTGTCGCACTGAAAGGCCCATTCTTCGCCTCACCGATGGCGAAGTATACGCACTTCTACGTTCGCCACCCTTTGTGCTTTTTGCTTCATCTACTTTTTCATTAAACTCTGACAGTATCCTCACTCGTAAGTACCGTACATTGTATTGTATTCTGAGGCGCAATCTCTTTGAAACGAGAGTCTAAGTCGAAGACGCCTGTTCCTTTTTTTTTTCTTTCTCGTTTTTTGCAAAACCACCGACATTACCGATTGCCTCTTTTTTTTTTTCTATGGCAACAATTTTAGTAGTGCGCCTAAGAACAGACGGAATCGAATGAAGTCTCAAGCTCTCGATGTCAAGATGATATCATTTTGCAAGCGCAGCACTTCAACTCGCGACAAAGCCCCTTCAACGTTCGCCCCACAATCCAAATCTTTCCGATTTTCCGTCTCCTCCCCCGCAATAATAATAAAAAAAAAAACACGTTTCGTTATATTTTATTCTTATTTACTATTCCGGTGGCGCGTTTTCTGCCTATCCCATGGCTTCGACAGACAGTCGGCCAGCTGTACCCACGATCGACGTCTCTCCGGAGACCCCAACGTGTGCTGGCCAAAGCACAATGACGCAGACGCTCGGCGCGCATTTTAGCCTCTCACTACACAATACCATTCAGATGAAAAAAAATAAAAAGGCTCCGCGCCTCTGCTCCCCAAAAACGTGGTGGCGCAAGTGTGCAAATAGCCCCCAAACCACTTCCGGTTCTGAGCTAGACGGCGAGTTTCGCGGTATTTGCGAAATAAAATATACACTCTACGATTATAATGCAATTAAGTGCAAAGGTCCAAGCGAGCTGGACAGTAATTATGAAAATAAACCCTGGAGAAGGGGAACAAGAGGGACAAAGGACAAACTCAAATCTCCAAACACAGCTAGGTGACTGGTGAGCCTCTGAAAAAATCCGCCTGGTCCGGGTATCGAACCCGCGACCTCTCCATTACATGTGGAGCGTTCTACCAACTGAGCTAACCAGGGGTTAGACGTCAGTAGAGCAAACGGGTTTTATCAGCCGCCACCAGTCTAACACCAACAAGGGTAAAGCTTGCAATTTAAGGATATGATTATACTGCAATTAAATGCAAAGGTGCAAGCGAGCTGGACAAGAATGAAGAAAATAAACCCTCGAGAAGGGGAACAAGAGGGACAAAGGACAAACACAAATCTCCAAACACAGCTATAGGTGACTGGTGCGCGACCGAAAATACACGCTCACTCTAAGAAAAAAAAAAAGAAAAGATGTATTCTTACACCCTTCGTCCAACATAAGACACCCCAAAACTTCAGTTGGACGTGCAGCGGACTGATGTTGAACCGACGGTACCAACTTCCACGAGCGGCTTGATAGCCGAGCTGTACAACTTATTTAAATAGCTAATGCACGTGTGACTGACTATGAAAAGAAATAAACAAGGTTTTTCATGGACCTAATGCAAAACCTCAGCGTTTTCTTTCTCCAGTCTTTGATACACACTTCAGCTGTTTAATAAGTTATTACCTAGGGTTCGGATTTTTCGGTTTCTATTTTTTTTTTTTTTTTTTTTCAAAATTCGGCGTACTTTTTTTTTGGTGTTTGTTTTAAAAAAAAAAATATATTTTTTTTTCGGCATATATTTATGCCCACAAACGTTTATCGGCTTTTTTCGATGAATATAAAATAGACACCAACGGACACCGGATCAGATTATCCTTGTAGCTTTGATATTTGTGATCACTCAAAGAATAACAGCACATGTAAACTGAAAAAGAAATGGACACTTCATTCGGCAAATGTGTGCAACTGAGAAAGAAACAAGAAAAAAAAAACAAAAAAAAACACACAAGTAGAAACAGGTCAGATAGGAATATGCCCCGAATCAAAACACACGTACTTTCCCAGGCTCTCCTTGTTGATCCGCACTCTTTCTTTCCTGTTAATATGACCCTGAGCTTTGAGAATGCCCTCTTAATGCTAACACTGGACACTGACAGGCTGAGGAGATGAAGCGCTGCCTGAGCCAAAATCGGCCAATCAACCAATTGGGACCGCCAAAAGAGACACGGTGCGACGTTTTGAGGCACAACACAACATGCAGAGCTTGCATCCAGTCTTCCTTACAACGACTTTGAAAACAGGCTCGTACATGGCGAAGTCATGGGGCATTTCGGACTTCATGTTCCGATCGATGATGCGCACATTAAACCGAAACGTCGTGATGCCACCCGTGTATCCCATACATTCGGGCACGTTTCGATAGACACTGTCGTTCCAATTTTTCGCCACGGTTCTGCCGTACGACTGGAAAGTTAGTGACATTTTTCCGGGTAAAACTGAATTTTAGAAAAGGGATTCGACATGCCTTTATCGGTTTTTATCGGTTTAAATCGAAAATGTCGAACCTAAAAACTGAGCTTTTTCGGTTAAAACCGAATTTCCGAAAATGGATTCGGCGTACTTTCGAAAAATCCGAACCCTAAAACTTATACCGCACCGTTATCAAGCCCCTCGTAAAATTCGGGGCCGTCTGTTGGACTATTCGCAACTTCCAAAGCCCTCCAGGCACGTAGCCAGAGGGGAGGCCCATGGGGCCCGGGCCCATTTTCCCTATTGAAATTTTTAGAAAAATCACTTATAACTTTTGAATAAAATGTCGGTTCTTGCTGAAACTTTGGCATCTGGTTGTGACCCTTTAGTGCTACCTTCGGCCGGAGAATGAGCGTTCGGCCAGCATAAAGTTCATTTTTGCGATAAAAAAAAAAAAAAGATACGCGTAATTTATTTTTGAACACTTTGTATATGTTTCTCTTGACGCAGCTATTTCTGTCACCGTGTTTCTCCGTTGGTGCGGGCCAATAATCACACAGTGCGCGTGTTCCGCACCTGGTTTCACTTTTACGGCCGACTGCGTAGCCGACGATCTGACGGTGCAAATTGAGCGGCGGCAAAACTGCACCGTCGCAGTTATGCTGGGAAAGAAAAACAAAATTAAAAATCGATAAATACACTTAAAACTGCTTACGTGTAGGAATGCAAAAGCATTCCTACACGTAAGCAGCACTCCTACACGTAAGCAGCTTTTGCATTCCTACGCGCGCAGCGCCCCCCGCCCCTCCCACTGCGCAGGCGCGGCAAACCCCGCCGGCTCCGCAACTTCCGTGACGATGCATCCGCGTTGCTGTGCTTTTCTTTGTGGTTCTATTTCTGAAGCGCGCGTCCGCTTTGACCTTGAGCGGCCCCGCTGGCTTTCGCCACGAGGGATCTGATATGACCCGTCGCAACCAATGGGAATCTATTGCTCGTTTCGCTGTTCCACACAACGCCAGTTTGCTCCATGGGACACTTAATGTTTTTCGCATTAAAAGGGCGAGATCGAGGCGCCCGCAATAACTCCGTGTAATTGGTTTAATAAGAAGTTTTAGTAGACCGTGTTTCCCCT